CGCCGCGCCGGGCACCGCACCGTGCCGGGCAGGACTCGCTCGCTCGCTCGCTCCAGCCGCCCTTCCGCACCCATGGGGACTAGGAGACTTTAAAGGAGTTTGGGGGTCTCAGGAGCAGGGAAATCACGGGTATGGAGCCGGGGGTTCGTCTTGGTGTTTGGAAATGGGTTGGCCTTGTCCGGTGGTTGTTGGGCTGCTGGGCTGGGCTGAGGGTGCGCGGGGGGGGGTGTCGAGGTGACAGCGGACCCCCCCCCACACACACTAGTGTCCCCACATGGGCTCCCCCCCCCTTCCTGGCTCTTTGTTAGGTTATTTTATAGACCCAGCAGCCTCGCCCTGGCGCAGTCGGATTGGCTGGGCTGGGGAGAAGGCGAGCAAAAGTGAGCACGGAGCTCCTACCTGCCGGCGTGGGCAGGTGTGTGCTCCTCGGGGCGCTTTGCGTGATCGGCAAGTGTGCAAGCTGCTTGGGGGGCTGGGGGGTACGGAGGTGGGAGCGATCGCCTGTGCCAGTGTGTCGGTGGTCGCGAAGGTTGGTCGTCGTGGGTGTCTGTGACATGATCCGTGTGTGTGTGCGTGTGTCTGTGTGTCTCTGTGTGTGTGTGTCGCTAGCTGGGGCTCTCCTCCCCCAAAATGTGGGGCTGCAAAAAATGCTGCTCGTGTCCGGTGCCTGGCTGGTTGTCATTGTGGGAGTCGCTGTCACGGGTGGGTGGGTGTGGGTGGGGAAGGGGAAACCTCGTGTCAAAGCCCAGCCGGGCGGGCGGTGGGCGAGCGTGGAGACCCCCACCGCGCGGGCGCAGCAGCTGGCTCGCAGGGGTGCCTGGCGCCAGGCCCCCCGCCCCTCCCAGCGCCCCCCTGTCCTTCCCGGGGTGGCTGCCCCGCTCCACGCTGCCACCATCTCAGCTCTCCTTCCCGGTGGGACCTGGCCAGCCCGTTGGCCATTCTGTGTTGGAGAGTTTACACCTGGCTTCCCGGGCAAGGTCAGAAGCTCAGCTGGCGTGGGCTCCGGTTGGCTGACTGGTGATTTTCTCTTTCTGTCTCCTGCACCCTCTCTTCCCTGCCCCAGGAAGGCCCGGGGGACGAGGCTGGCGCTTGGTGGTCCCAGCACTGGTCTCGTGGGCAGGTAGCAGGTCCCCGGCGGGAGAAGGGAAGAAGGGGAGGGGGGAGAGCTGTGCCTCTCAGGGAAGGACACCGGGAGGGTCACCCCCCAAATTCTGAAGGCGCTGCTCCTCTTCCCCTCGCGCAGATCCCAGTTCCTGGCCTTCTTCGCCCGGGGCCGTGTCATTGATGGGCAATCAACTGGACCGCATCACCCACCTCAACTACAGCGAGCTGCCCACGGGGGACCCGTCTGGGATCGAGAAGGACGAGCTGCGGGTCGGGGTCGCTTACTTCTTCTCCGATGAGGAGGAGGACCTGGACGAACGCGGGCAGCCGGACAAGTTCGGCGTGAAAGGCCCCCCGGGCTGCGCCCCTTGCCCAGAGAGCCCTAACCGCCGCCACCACCACCATCACCACCATCACCACCATCACCACCACCACCACCACCACCAGTTGCTGCACCAGCTGCTTCTCAACGAGACTCAGGTGTCCGCCTTTCGGGGCCAGGAATGCATCTTCTCCAAAGTGCCCAGCGACGGGCCCCCTCAGGGCGCCGACGGGAGCGTGTACCCCGCGTCCGCGCTGCCGGCGCTCTGCGAGCCCGGCGACCTGCTGGAGCTGCTGTGGCTGCGGCCGGCCCCGGAGCAGCCCGCACCCGCCCCGCACTGGGCCGTGTACGTGGGCGGCGGGCAGATCATCCACCTGCACCGGGGCGAGATCCGCCAGGACAGCCTGCACGAGGCGGGCGCGGCCACGGTGGGCCGCGTGGTGAATAGCTGGTACCGCTACCGCCCGCTGCTGGCCGAGCTGGTGGTGCAGAACGCCTGCGGCCACCTGGGCCTCAAGAGCGAGGAGATCTGCTGGACGAACTCGGAGAGCTTCGCCGCCTGGTGCCGCTTCGGCAACCGCGAGTTCAAAGCCGGGGGGGAGGTGCCCGCCGGCTCGCCGCCCTACTATCTGCAGGTGCAGCTCGGGGAGGACAAGGTGCACACGGCCCGCTTCCACAGCCTGGAAGACCTCATCCGCGAGAAGCGCCGCCTCGACGCCAGCGGCCGCCTGCGCGTGCTCCAGGAGCTCGCCGACCTCGAGCTCGTGGACAAGGAGTAGCGGTCCCCGGGGTGGGGGTCCGTCCGTCCGCCCCCGGCCCCGTCCCGGGGCGCCCTGCTCCCACCCCCTCCACCCCCAGCCCGCAGTCACCGGGTGGAGAGGAGAGGGGGGGTCAGTGCGGGGACGGGGGTGGGGGTGGGGAGGGGGGTGCGACCTCGCTCTCCTCCTGCTGCGGCCCAGGGTGGGTGGGGTGGGGGTGGGGGTCTCCGGAACTGAGCCTCGGACTTGGCGCGCGCCTGGAGACCGGGACACGGTGTCTGGAGCGTGCCGCCTGCGCTCTCCCCTTTGGATCTAAGCGGGAATGGCCCGAGGGGATCCGGGGCGAGACTTTTTTTTGGGGGGAGGACCTCCCCCCACCCCCATCCCCGGAGAACGACTGCCCCGGGCTGCAAAGGCACCATCAGCTGCCCCAGATGTGACGCGCAGGCCCGCGGAGGAGGACTGGTCTGTTCGGAGCGCGCACACGCGCTTCCCGAACGAGGGGTCCCCCGGGCTGCAGAATTCCCAGGAAATCCAGCGTGGATGGTGACTAGTGCCCAGAAGAGAGCACTCGGGGACCCCTGCGGGGGGCGGGTAATCCGAAGACTGCCCGGGACTCGGCAGCTCTCCACTTCCCAGGTCTCGGGACACAGCATTCCAGGCTCCCGGCTATGCTTAGATAGGTTGATAGGTATTATTCGTATTATTATTATTTTGCTTCCCATTGTTTGCATCAAAGGAAGCAGAAGCCAACACCGACCCGCGTTTGCCCGGGGGATTGGGGGGCGTGTCCCGGGGACGGATGGAACGGGAGCTTTCCAGGTCTCTCCCGGGAGGAAAATGACACAGCTCCTTGGAGGAGGAGAGCCGGCCCCGCCTGGGAAACAGGGCAAGTTACCGGATGCCTGAAACTTGGAGAAGGGCGCTCAGTGTGCTGAACTCTAGATCACTGCCTCCTTGGGCTGCATTTTAAAACTAATAATAAATAAATAAATAAAAGGCATATGTTTTAAGAATTTGGACAGAAGGGGGACGGGGCAGGGGAAGACCCAGCAATAGTCTAGAAAACCAGCCTTGGGACCACCACATAGCCCGTGTATTTAGTTTGGTTTTTCCTGCCATGGAGGTCTTAGACGGTGGGAAGGAGGAGATGACATTTTGAAAATGAGAACGCAGTTTTCCGACGATGTCAACAAAGCCTATCGTGTTGATGCTTTTATTGACCATTTTAGCAACATGCTAATAAAATTTCAAATTGAAATTTTTATTTTCATGGCTTTAATCCATGATAGTTTAAATACTGGGGGCCATTAAGAGTGGATTTAGCTAAGAGCTTAGCTAAACGTTGCCTTTTTCACTCTATTTTTCTCAGATAGTATGAGAATTCTGTTTTTGAATATATTGTAGTTTATCTGAGGGAGGGAGGGGGAGATAAACAGCAGCACTAGTACTGGTGGAGTTGTTCATTACTGTGTGTATTGTACTGAATTTCTGTCAGTTAAAAGGATTTTCTGCTTTGGTTGGTGGACATTGCTAGCAGGTTCCCTGAAGATTCTTTTCTCTTTGCTTTCTTTTTTTTTTAATATCATTACCATTTCCCATTTGCATTTCTATTTGTTCTTTATCTCTTTTGGTCTTCTTCCCAAGGAATCTTGCTTGTCTTCATGCTTCCTTAGCCAGGCCCACATGGGATTTTCAGAAAAATGGGGAGTATTTGTAGGATCAGGACAAAAAGGGGGGGAAAAGTGTGTGTCAAAACATTAAGGTTGTGTAAAATTCCTTCCCTGGGTAAGGGTTTGTGAACTTCTCTCTTCTGGCTGCAGCTCTAGCCTAATTAACTGTTAGTTGACATTGGTGAGACACCCTAGAGCAGCATCTATTTCTCTTTTGAGGGACCTTGTCAAAGGATGGTGTTTAGCTACTTGTTGAATTCAATCATCACACATTGACAGCTATCATCTAGTGGGCAGCAAATATATATGGCCAAAGCCAGCTTCTTGGCATTGTATTAATGCAATAAAAACTAGTTGAGGTTAGCTGAGACTGAAAATGCCTTTTCCATAGCAAATAATGCATTTTTGTTTTGTTAGGATTTTGTTGCTGTCATCGTTGTTGTAGTGTTGTTGTTGTTGTTTTCTTTTCTTTGGTGGGTTTTCATTCTGGATTCATTCCCTAATCCTGAATCAAAGGGTCAAATCAACGAAATATGAACTATTTTTCTTAAGTCTATCGAGTGATTTATTTTTTAAAAAGATATATTTAAACGCATATGCTTTTCTCTCATCACATATCACAGCAAAAGTTTTGTAACAATTGACTTAACTGCTGCATGTACGGGGAACTGAAAGTCATTTATTTCCCTGACTTATTACTCTGACAAATAGCAGACCGCAGATCATAAACCAAAATTATTTACTGTATCTACAAACTCCATATTCTTTACTGTGACCTACTACTGTACCTTGGCTCCCTGCTATATTAAACACCATCATAAGCACTTGATCCAACCAGACTCCTTCTTGGCATTTTGTCTTCCACCTGTCACTCAAAAAGTGCGACTTCAGCCAAAGACATGAGTGAGTCTCTCACACCTAATTTTGAGATCTCTTTTCTCTGATTTCCTTCTTATGAAAAGGATTACTTTAACAGAAAAAGAAAGGTATTTGCTCAGACAAGGTGACAATAAAAACCAGAGTTGGGCAGTTCAAGTAGTATTCGTGATTGCATTGTCCTATCAAGGATCGCATGGATGATAACACTTCTACATATTCTGACTATGAAGGAAACTTGAAAGCTTGGTAAGGTTTCTCCTATTCCTATCAAAATAATTGTTTATTTCTTGGTCAATGTTAACAAAAACCAATGCTGAATAAGTCTATAAAAATACATTATGGGAAGAGTCTATCAAAATATTATCTAGCAGCTTTATTTCTCAAAAGGTTTCTGTTTTTAGGGTATCATTGACGAGGATACAAAGTCCAAAAAGGTGAAAATTGTTGAAGGCATGAGATTCACTTGACTTTTATGATGGGTTTAATAGCACATCACGAGATTGAAACAAAAGACCTATAAAAATTAAGCCATGTTTTCTTAACATTTTAATAAGCACTTAGCATTAGCGTTGGCTTTCAGTGTCCTGGAGCAAATATGGCTTCACTAGGGCCCTGGGCCTGAGATTGGGCCTGGCCTGCCTTCTGGGACCATGGCATAGGAAATCTTTCCTGTCTTCCACTGTGCTAACTTCTGGGGCAAATCTGGAACCCAAACTACCACTAAAAGAAAAAGAAGAAAAGTATAAAAGACAGATACTTCTAATAGTGTTTTATCATACATATTATTTTTAAAATAAAAAAGAAGAGCTGTGTGTACTCTGAAACAGAATCATCTACAAAATGTCCTCATTTGGAAGTGTATTTCTTCTTTTAAAAAAGGAAGTCTGTGGAGGCTAAATATGTTGCATTTTAAGTAAAAAATATACCAATGATCCATTGATACATGTAAAGTGTTTCTCAATATTAAAAACAAGTAAGTCCCTCAGTATAACAGCATTTTGTTAAGAGAGTAATTTAACTTGTAATTAGAAAATATTTGCAAAATTTAATCTCAGTCAGACTTGAGCTTTAAGTTCAACCCTGTTACATGATTTCACTAGATTAAAAACCATACATGCTTTCCCCCCTATATAGCATGCTTCTTCAGTGAGTGCTTTGGTTTGAATAATGACACTTTGATGTTTTCAAAATAGTGAATTACCTTTATTATCAATGTGTCTTGAATAGTCTTCAGACATCACATTAGTTATTACTTACGTTTTGTGATATGCTTTCAACATCCCTATGACTTTAATGTGTTTGTCATCTAATAATAGATCAGCATTAAATTTAAGTGAACTTAATAATAAATTGCACAGTCATGATAGAGCCACCTAATCTTCTTTTATTCACTGGCGTATCTTCCAAACTTTCTTCTGCCTGTTTCATTTTTCTTTCCTTGGTACCAGTAATTGAGAAGGATGGAGCCATACTGTGTCTTTTTAAACAAGTGAAAAGACTTTGTGTGATGATTCACCACACATACAATAGTCTGCAAGTTTAAAAGAAAGAGAGAGAGAGAGAGAAGAGTATGTGTTCCTATGTCTCTTGAAATACAATTAACCATTAGCAGAATGTATATGTACAAACACTTATTTGTGTGTATATATCAAAGATATATATTCTATATATTTATACAATCACATAACATGTATGCTGTTATACAGTTATAACTATAGCTAGTAAATTTTAATTATATACACACATAGACTTTTTCAAAACAATGTAAAGTGATTTGACATTTATTTTTAAAGTGGGTGTGAAGATCTAGGAGTCAGAATCATTCATGGGTAGCTGGATTATAAGCAGCTCTGCCTAAAGTTAAATAAAATAAAATTTGAGATTTGCACAATGAGCTGTAGTCTCACTTTTGGAATATGTTTCTGACTCATAAATAACTAGAAGTAAAGCTGAGAAGATAAAGAAGTAAAGGAAAAGTAAGGAACAGGAGGATGCTAGGATGTTCTGAGGTGATCCAGGGAGCTTATAAGCCTTTGTGCAAAGGATATCTGCTCTCCTTTCTTTCTTTCTTTTTTATTATTTTGGTTGTGGGGCTTGAACTCTGGGGCTGGGCGCTGTCCCTCAGTTCTTCAGCTCAAGGTAAGCACTCTAACACTTGAGCCACAGTGCCACTTCCGGTTTTGGGGGTGGTTTATTGGAGATAGAGTCTCACGGGCTTTCCTGCCTGGGGTGGCTTTGAACCATGATCCTCAGATCTCAGCCTCCTGAGTAGGTAGGATTACAGGCGTGAGCCACCCAGCCATCTGCTCTCCTTTCTTCCTGAAAACATAAAGAAGCTAAGATCTTATTCTCCAGCTATTGAATAATTTGTAAGATTCTCTGATTTCTGAACTGGAACTTTACTTCCTTTCAACTTGCAATATAAGAGGTCTAGGATTTTTAAGTGTGGTAACCAAAAAGCTGGGGTGG